ATTAGTCGTCCTGTACACGACGTGTAATATTTTTTTCTATCGATCGATTAGTTAAAAGCAGACGTGTGCTCGACGTCTGCTTTTAACTAATCGATCGATAGAAAGAATCACCTGAGTATCCTAAAGAACGCACGCATGCCGGAAAAATGCGACTAAAAGACTCCTGAGTATTTTAAGCGTGCATGCACATTGCGTATTTATAAAAGACAAAAAGAGAAAATATTAAATATACAAAGAGTATTTTTTGGAATTTCAGAAAATATTATATTAAAGCAGTAATTTTCTACAGAACTTGTGTACGTTTCAAAGAATTAAAATACGAGTTCCAGTGAAAAAATTTTGCCGGATTCTTCCGCGAAGAATTCTAATGAAATTAAAAAGCTTTTCAACTTTTTATCGTAAAAAGCTTCTGTAGCATAAATCTTAATTACGTAATGATAGTTTGTTTTGCGGTCGACAATTGGTAAAATTATCGGCGATACTTTGGCTCGACGATGAGCTTTAAAAGTTACATGGAAAATGGATCGGACGGAGTTCCTCTCGCTGCTCATTTTTTATTTCCAGGCGCGATGGGAGAAAGGAAGATAAGCCTCGCTTGCTCGCGGAATAAAACAAATCGCAGCAAAAAGTTTCATCGATAATTCAGGTCTGCCGCGGTAAATAACTTTCAGGTATACTATCATAAAGATACCTACGACCAAGCCTGAAAATCCCAAACTGCGGCGGTAGATAAGGAACCTTGAATTTTTCAAGCTCTCCATATGATCGTATTCATATATATGATGTATTCTTACTACTCTCTTACTCACAGAAAGCTTTATTTATTCCTTTTTTTATTTATTCAAGCGCATGTAATAAAGACAATGGCTATGTTATTGATTTTTTTTATATTACATTCACCCATAATATATGCTCTGGGAAAATATGATGAAAAATAATGAGTGAAACAAATGATGAAAAATTACTATTAATTATATATGTAGAGTTGCACGAGATATGAAGTCTATTGTCCCATCTTATCTTAAAATTCCAGACAAGACGAGATTCAAGATGAGATTTTTAATTAATCAAGACAATACCAAAACTAATTGTAAGATTGTCAAAAAAAATTACTGGTCTTGTCAAGATTATTAATTAAAAAAAATATGAATATAAACTAAAATATATATAGTTACAATTTAAATGAGAAGAAAATTATTATTGTATACATACTTAAAAAATTTTATTTGATAAATAAAAATAATTATATTAATGAATTTATATTAATGAATTTATAGAGAATCAATGAATACTCACAAAATATACAATTAATACACACGAAATAAACAATATAAAATTTTATATAAAATTCATCTTCATTATAAATCTTAAATTATATTATAAAGATTATGATAAATATTATTTTAAAATTGTCGAATATTAAATGAGAATTTAATAAAATATTTAATAAAATCGAAATAATGCAAGACACGATATAAAACAAGATTTTTTGCTACACACATTCAAGATCAAGAAAAGCTTGAAGTTTTCGAAAATTTTCAATATTTTTACGAATATTGTCTTGTCTGGAATCTTGTGCAACTATAAGTAATCAAAATCTTTAAGACTGTAAAAACTTAAGAAAAAGTAATAATTTCCACTCGAAATATTTTCCAACGTGACTACAAAACTTTACTCTCCAGATGAAAATAACAACAATAACAATTAACTTCTTCCCGAGTCATTCGGGAAAAAAGTTGACTCAAGTTGTTCAAATGTAAACCCTTTTTACCATGACCGTTTGGTCCACCCGATGATTTGCGGCGCAACTTTACCTCGACTTTCGAGGGCGAAAACATTCGAAGTCGCCCGGACAGACGAGGACAACCAGTTGTTTTTCGTGGCAAAGCTACGTTAATTAAATGACGCATGAGAGAATAGCTCGAATAAAGTCTATGACGACGATAACGACGACGACAGCACACTTTCGTCGCTTTCGCCCCGATAATTCGTATCGACTGTCGCGAAATGAACGGTCGTTTGTTAGCGACAACTTATGAACAAATTATACAATGATTTCCATTAATTAATTCCGCCCCCATACACGTGATTTAATGGATGACGCGGGGATATCGCCGCGAGCGATGCATTAACGGTGAAATATTCGGCCGGACGTTAACGAGCGGTACCGGAAGCTCGTAGACAAATAGCAATTAGAGGACACCGCTGTTCCCGTCCGAAACGAGAACAAAAGGTCGTGCTCGCCACGTCGGATCGATCCGACAAGATTTATATTCGGCTTGGAAGAGTAAAAGGGAAAGAGAGATGGACAAGCGGGGTGAGAAAGGGAGAGAGGGGGACAGGGATATAAAGAAGAGAAGAACGGAAAAGAGCTGTCGGACAACTATGAGGACACTAAGTCATAATGGTTCCTCGACGGATACCTACGCCAGTGGCATACGGCACAAACGCCGTCTACTCTAAGGGAATAATATCGCCGAGCTGCCGTCGAAATATTGGCGTCCGGCCAAATGGAAATAAATAAAACGGCCGAAGGGAGGCTGCGCTGCAGCCTCCAGGGGAAGCATCCTGCATGCAAGCATGCCACATTAGAATATATCACGTTATATATGTGACACGTTAATCTAAAAGTTAAAAATATATAAAATATATATAAACTGCTTCTAAAATTCATATCTTATATTTTCCATATTTTTAGATTTTGAATTAATCTTTTCGATCAAATCGACACGCATTATTATTTTATATATTTTATATATTCCATACTTTTGTATAAGATGAATTTTAGATTAATTAAATTTTTAGATCAATTAAAATAAGGATATATTAATCTAAAAAATTATACAAGATCTAAAAATATATATATTTTTTAGATTGATTTAGATTTTATGTATTTTTAAATTTTAGATTAATATTTAAATTGATATGTCTTTATATGTGTATTTTAATCAATCTAAAAATTTAATCAATTTAATTAATTTAAAATCCATCATATGCAAGTAAAATATGACATATCGATCTGACCTGAAGATAGTTTTGTATTAAATATGATGATCCGATTTGAACGTCATTTCTATTGGAAATCAACCTAGATTATCGATCATATTTGATTTAAAAAACTGGATTAAAAAAAAAATACAAAGAACAAAGAATTATTAAAAGACTCTGGGAGAGACGCATCACCGGCAAAATTTCGTAAAATGTATTTATGCCTTTGCTTAAACAGCACGCGAATATTATTTTATGCGCGCTCCAACTGGTTTGAGTAGTCTTTTAAAAAAAAGCATCATAAAGTGCGCGTGATGTAAGCGATTACGAATCATTGTGTGACCCATTGTTACTTTCCTTTTTCCATTATTTTCCGACGCTTTTATAATGAAAGTCCGCGCTTTATCATCGTGATCTCTCTATTCTTCCACTTTACAACTTAAGCACTTTCAATCCCCAGCGAGGTATGCTTTTAACTGACCCTCCTTTATTTTATCCCTTTCGCTTTTTTCCCGCGAAATAAATTTTCTTGAAAAAATAAAAAAAAATCCACCAATTCAATTACAATTATTATCGCGCGACCCAATAATAGTATTCGATTAATAATTCAATAAATAAAAGCCTTGCACCTTGCACTATTTAATTTGCACTTTAATTCGCGTGTCTATCTGCCTATCATAATGATAGAACTTCTCGATGCAAACGAATAGAACAACATTGATAATGATGCTAAAACTCGCGTTTATTTGCAATTTATACACAAGAAAAAAAAACGGATATAGAAACGTGAAAGCACACAGATAGGATGTAGAGCATGATTCCCGTATCAAACATCGTGCTTTGAAATCGTTTCGATCGTATCTCCCGAGTATATTGCTTTTCTCGCAATAAACGTGTATACGCATGTTATAAACGAATTCAATCAACACTTTTCTACAGTAAAATATATAAAAGTAGAATATATAAAAGTAGAATACATAAAGGTATATATAAAGGTAAAAATGCGATAAAATAACGTTTTGCGTATACAGGGTGTTTCTTAATAAGTGCGAAAAATTTTAGGAGATGATTCTTTATCGAAAATTAAGCATTAAATTAAACATGTATACCTACATCCCTCCCTGTGGAGTTACACTCCTTCAAAAATGGGGATAAAAATTAGGTTTTTTAGATTTTTATTATAATTTTGTTTTCCAATTTTTCCAACATTTACTCTAATTTTATTTTTATTTTAAAATTTAATTTTTCGTAATTCAAAATCTATGCTATTTAGCATCGTGCTGTGCACGATAACGTTTTATTTTTTTTCTTGAAAACTATTGATTTTATGAAAAAAATTTATGAAATAAAAGTTTCTAAGTAAATCAAACTTTTTAATGCATATTTTTAGATGATATTCCAGTCAATTAAAAAGTTCTAATAAAAAATTGGGGTTGCTAGTTTCGTCTCTTTATAACAATATAGGAGACTGAAAAATATATTAATAAATAACCTTTTTATTAGTAGAAAATATCCACTAGTTTCATTTCCTTAACTTATTTCAAATTTGAGAAAAAAATAAAAACCTAATTTTTATGTATGATGTAGGAGTATATGTTTATATGAAAAACCCTCCTTAATTTTGACAAAGAATCATCTTCTAAAATGTTTCATATTTATTAAGAAACACCCTATATGTATAATTGGCGAATTATAAATCGATAATTAAAAATATAATAATAATTTATATAATAATATAATAAATATATAATAATAATTTATATTGCAATTATTTATAAATAATTATTGAATAAAGAAAAAAATATTACATATATATTATATATATATATATAATATTATTTTCTTTATTTAATTATTTATTAATTATATGTGAAAAATAGTAATAATTTATATTTTAATTAATAATTCAGTTCTTTTGAAATGTTAATTTAAAATTTCATATTCTTCTGCAGATAAAAGTCCATCTATGATTCATACATCAAATTCAAAACACAGAGAAAAAAATTTCCTACCTCTTTCGAGTATTTGTCTTCAAGCACGAGCTTCTCCTGGTTAACTGCAAGACAAATTAACGCATCCAATTTTTCTTGAGTCGCATCTTCTCCGGCCGCTCTTAATGCCGCTTTCACTTTAGTCTCACTGACTGTCTGCAATCAAATAATTATTTCATGAAAATATCGTTATACAATATTAATCTCGTATGAAAATGGCCGCTTTAATAATGCGAGAAATTAGAGAATTTAGAGAAATTAGAGATATAAATTTAAAGAAAGAGTTGTGTGTCTGTTGAAGAAAAAATATTGACAACGCACCCTTAATTTTTCCAACTCTTTCTGTAGATTGTTAACTTTGTGATACATATGCAGGACGAATAAATCGAAGGCTTCTTCACTGACAGATAGTTTCTTGTCATGAATATTTATATTAGGGAACAGAATTTGCAATTCTTCGTTAAAATCTTCCCGCGCCGTTTTAATCTGCTTCCAATAACGCTCGACAAGGTTACCACTCTGCAACTCTTCGGTGTACTTCCTTTTCGCCTCGTCCACATCGTCCATAATTTTCCTAACGTTCCGTCTCGCTGCCGTCTTCATATGTGCGGGCGCTTCGAACACGGACTCATCAATTAAATTGTACATGCGCTTAAGCGAATTCAACGCATCTTTCGCGTGCTCTTCCGCTTGCTGTACCGTCTCTTTCCTCTTTTCCGTCGCTTCTTTTAACCTACCAAGTACAAATTCAGTTATTAGATAAAGAAATAAAGCGTGAGACGATTACATAAAAGTACATCGTTACATATTACATAAGTACGATCATCACCTTTGCCAAACGGTTCCGCTTATCGTAGTGCCACTACTCTCAATCACTTTAATAACATCCCGATTGTAGTCTTGAAGTGCGTACACTGCCTTATGATATGCTGCGATAGCTTTAGCAGCGGCCTCGCCGCAATTCGTTTCTAGTTCGACGAGATTTTGCGGCATCAATTCCTGGGGGTACACTTGTGGGAGGTGGCGTTGGTTTCTCAACCACTATAAAAAATATAAGTAATTTAATAATTTGTATAGAAAGAAGTCGTATGTGAAATAATTTCGAAAAGTATGCCAACGTACCAACGTCTACTTTTTCACCCTTCTCTTTACTAACGCGAATTTCGGCATAATTCTCATTAATAGGCGCTTCCTTCTTCTCGACGAGTGGTTTAAAAACTGGCTTGGGTGCTACAGTATACATACATGCGATTGTTAAAGATTAATGGGAATATTATATATGTACAATTTAAGGAATTTAATTAAGCTTCATACTTTATATACTAGATCTAATTTTAAAAAGTTGTAAAAAGGAGTTAAAGGAATAAATGTAAGAAAATAGAGAAAAGGATAAAAAATGTAAAAAAGGAAGACATGAAAACAGGAATGGAATTAGGAATTACATATATGGGATGGGACTCACGTATGTATTCTATAAGTTTTGTGCAATCTAATCTTTCCTGACCTGGTTCTGGTTTTGATGTTTGACTGATGAACAAGTCCAGAATCCTGCAAAAGAATATTTATTCACTTTAATGAAATAAATAATCATTAACAATTATTAAACATCATATATGTTTTATTTTCTTACGTCTGCTTTAATGTTTTGAAGAATGTAAGTACAAAATCGAAATAGCTAGAGTCCTCTTGAAAGATAATTCGAATGGCTTTATCCGTACCAGGAATCCATCCTTCGAGAGTAGCTCGAACTTCTGGATCTTGCTTTACATAAGTTAATATTCCTAAAGTACCTATTGTTACAGCTCCTAAAGTTATCAATGTTCCTGATCCTCGACTTTTCTCACTATTACAAACCAAGAGCACAATTGAAATAAATTAATTCATAAATCAGTTAATCTTCTCCCTTACAATATAATACACAGCCAAAATTATATAAACAGTTGACAAAAATGATTGCAACATGCGTTAATCGATTTAAAAATAACATGCCAAATATTTTCAAATTTATATTTCAGGTACCTTTTTGGCGGTGCGGTCGAATACTTAGGTCCAGTAAACCTGGACGTAAGTCTGATATCCTTGCATAGCCTAAAAAAAATATAATAAAACCAAAATAAAAAATATACACAATTATATCAAAATAATATTAAATAAAAATATCTATACATATTACTTGTCAAAAGTGAAAACCCATACAGCATGGTATATTGCAGGAATATTATTAATATTGTTGTAACATTGCAATATTGCCGCAATATTACAGCAATGTTCTGCAAGGTCAGTAAAGTCTAGATAATTCAAGATCATTCAAATATAACGAGAAAGGTGCATAAATACAGACTTATGTTTATAAAATCATTACTATTATTTTTTATTCAAGATAAATCATGATCGAACATAACCTCACCGCACAGATTAACGTGTGAAATCGATGACAAACAAGTGGAAATAAATATTCCAAGGCTAATAAAATGTAATCTTAATATTGAGTGACACTTTTGACAGCACCTGTCATCGTCGAAATTCGCTGTCAAGAGGAACTCACCTCCCTTCCGGCTCGCATTTGACGCGTGCTCGCGATTCATGGTACCTGGCTGTCAAATATAACCTGGAGCAGCCGTGTTTCTTGACCTGAAAGAGCAACGAACAGAGTCAGGGCTTCTGGAATTATGTAAGCTCTCTTATAACCCGTGTCACCATCTTTGTCACAAGGCTTTCGAGGCGCGCGAACGTCGCGATCGAGATTTTTCAGATCGTTCACTGGTGACCCCCGACGTCGACGTCGCCGTCGCGGGCATCCTCCGCGCCCGTCGTCGTCGATTTCTCGAACAGCCGACGAAAGAGGCGATCGAAGGTTGGCGCGCGACACTGGACGACATCGAGTCGCGGGCAACGTTGCTACCTCCTCGCGTTTTTCCCGAGAACGAAGAATCCGCTCGACTCGACCTGTTACTCGCAAACTTTCGCCTCTCGCTCTACGTACCCGAGTTAGACCGTTGCACGGAAATTTTAATCCAATTCGGAACATCTTTCGGGGTGGCCGGTCAGGCTGCCGAAAGGCGGGAGGGGGAGAAAGGGAACGACGGTGCAAAACAGCTGGTCGCTGGCCCGATATTCCGGATTCCGGACGGACGGAACTGCGGAAAGGAAGGATGTTGCGTGTGGCGAGCACGGCGCTGCGAGGTGGGTACGCGCGAGTCGAACAGCTGATCGCGCGATCGGCCAGGCGCGTCACCGGGATCTGTCACGCGCCGGTTACGCGACGCGCTGTCAATTTCCCGATTTCGCGTCGCGTCGCGACGTCGACGACGAGATCTGCGACGTCGAGAGGTTATGTGTCTTTGCTCGTGCGACCGCCATGACTGGACACGAGGAACGGCGCGGAATCCGAAATTCTTGTGGCGCGCGTTTCAATCGTGTATCTCGAGTCTGAAGCTCGTTTATCCCGAAAGGACCTCGAGGCTTTCTTTCTCGAGTTTATACAGATTTTTATATATGATATATAACATTATATAACGTATAATATATTTGATATAATATATATATAATATATTTGATATAATATATATTTGATTTTTTTGGTTAAAATGGTTCTATTTGAAGCAAATTTAATCTACAAATTTAAAGTGTCACAATTTTTTTTAATATTATTTTTTGTAGGAAATTTAAACTATTTTATGCAATAGTTTATTTTTAGTATAATGATTTTGTTTAAATTAAAATAACGTTTTATAAAAGTATTTTGATATATTATTTTGTAATAATTTTTTATATTAATATAATTATATGTTTAATATACATTTTTCAAATTTTTAATTATTAATATATACTTTTATGTATTAATAATACTGTGTTATAATATATACTTTTATATATAATATGTAATTATATTGTATATATAATATATAATTATATATATATTATTCTATCTAACATATAAATATAAAAATATAATATATAAAAATCTGTGCTTGAATTTACTCACATATTGTAGTTTGCTGTTAAATACACTTGATAGATATACATGTGGATGAAGATATTTATACAACAGATAAAAAAATATTTGTATATGCATGTGTGTGTGCTTCAGAACACACAAAAAAAGAGATTTCGCCAAACATTTTCAAAATATTGTATCCTGTAAATACATATTTTACTGCATCACTCATGTTTTCCTGCATTTACTCATTTCAGGAATTGCAGCAAAAGCGACAAGTACTAATGTAACCTTTATTGCTTCAAGATGTAATGCCCTTTTCAATTCTACAATTCTTCAGTACAGAAATTTTGGAGCATTGTCACTTGCTGTCCAAAAGTGGGCTGCTATTAATCCAGTACAACATAAAACATTACTAAAGTAATATATAATATCGCTAAAATAACCTATGTACTAGGATAACTTAATTAATTTTTACAATAATTTATACATCACTTTTTATAATAATTTATTTTTTAAAATAATCATATAATAATATATGCATCTATAAAAAAATATTATCTTTCCAGTTATGCAGTGACAGAAAATTGTCTAGCGTTGCCAGCAGAGCCTATTAATGTACCAATAAGAACAGTCACTAAATTTTCTCTGAGAAAAGGAAAGCGGAAAACCGTAAAGACGGTCTTAAAACGCTTTTATAGATTAAATTGGTAATATTTTAAGATATATTTAATGCGTTATAATAATCTAAAATTTAAAAATATTGCATATTTTGCATATTAAAATTCCTGATACATAATAAACTCGAGACAAAATCAATTTAAATAAAACATAAATAAAAAATTGCAGGGGTATCTGGATTAGGACAAAAGCTGGTCGAAGAAAACATCTATGGAGGAAATCGTCCGCCAGAAAGAAGAGATTGCAACAACATGTATTCTGTAATTCCACGCAGAGCACATTGCTAGACAAGATGGTATGCAAGTACTGGAAAAGACGACATTATTATGTTGACGATCCATACGAACCGTATCATGAACGAGAAGGATTCTATTTAACTCGAAAAAGACCACTAGCTTAATTAATTGCCCATATTATATACTACCAATTATTACAATTGCAACTTTTGAAAAAAATATCATCAACAAACAATGTTGTCATCAGCAAACAATGTTGTCATCTGAGTTATATAATTGTGTGTTCGTTTTATGCATCAAATCTAATTTCTCTGAATTTATTATAAAATGACTTATGCAGATAATATTACGTAGATATCATTATATAGATAATAATAATTATGTATAGATACATATTCCTGATAAATAAAATATGCTGTAATACAGTCGTCGAGTTTTATTAAAGTTTGTAAACATGTGTTCCATTGTCTGTCAGCGAAACAGCTGATCGAGATACACAAGTTATCCCTATAGTTATAGATGCTCTTAATTAGCGCAAAATATTAATATCCAACATATGTGACATTCTTATATCTCGACACAGATGTCGGAATTTTTTTATCAATCGATATCGCTGCAAAGTGCGATAAGATATCACAATATGTCACGTCCCACAATTGCATGAAAAATTACATAGATTCTCCTCAGGAGATATATACATATTTCAGTAGCATTTTTTTTGGTCTCTTTTTTTTTTTCGGCACATTGATCGACAGGCAGCTTTCGAAAGTGGAATTATCTAACCTAACTTAAACTAACCCGACCCAACCAAGTGATCACGTAGGTCCCCCCCCGCTGCGCGGTGTCGAGAGCTTACGAGTGAATGTAGATGTAGATGCCTTTTAGTCGCGATTTGTCCTTCGCGGAGCGTGTACGTGTTGCGAAAAAATTATCGCAATCGACTTAATTTTTTCTCTATTTTTGTCGATTATCAGGCGACATATTACTTCAAGAGGTGATAACAAAATGCCGTATCGCGGAAAATTGCGACTGCTCGGTAGAGCGTGTCTGACCTTTGGGAAGAGCGAGGGTAACCCGAATCTCGCCGTCGTCGTCGCCAGTAGAAATTTCTCCGCAAGCCGCGCGCTCGATATGAGGTAAGCATAACCCTCTTCTCCCCCACTCCCCCTCTTCGATCCAGCGCCGTAATTCGATTGGGCGTCAATTGTTTTGCCGGCGAATTTTTCACGCATGAAGAAAAGAAAAAAATGATAATTTCAATAATTTGAAACATCTAGATAGGAAAAACAACTGTACTTTCTGTCGTTTTTTTTTATTTATTGGTTTTTTGTATTTATCGTTGTCAAAATTGTGATTTAGTCGTTGTTATTATAATTATTATTTATTATTATTTTTATAATTAAAGCTGAGTGATTACCTGTGAAGCGAAATTTGACATTCGAATCTCGGAGTCTCAAGAATAAACAAATGTTCGAAACTTCGAGAGATCGAAATTTAACATTTTATTAATACGTTTCAATGTTTTATTAATAGTATAATATTAACTATGCTTATTTATGTTATTGTTACTTAATTTTAGGTTCGAATTTCGGAGCTTCAAATAAAGCAAAGATAAAAAAATTTTCAAAAATTTGAAATTCCCGAAACTTGGAAAAATTAAAATTTAACATTATTAATAGTATAATATTAACTATCCTTATTTGTACTATTGCTTCTCAATTTTAGTGCAGATTCGAATGTCAAATTTCGAAGATAGCTTCAAAGATAAAAAAATTTTCGAAAATTTAAAATTCTTGAAACTTCGAAAAATCAAATTTAATATTAAACATTTTCGAAACTTGGAAATACTTTTGAAATATTTTCGAAACTTCGAAACGATCAAAATTTAATATTATTAATAGTATAATATTAATTATTCTTACTCATACCATTGCTTCATTTTAATGATTCTAAAATACTGCGCATTGTCCTCATTTTGATCAGAATTTTTATATATTATTTATTACGTGTTAACACGAGAATATGCCAGTTTGCGTGTAACTCGCTTAACTTGTGTGACTTTTCTAACATAGTTACTTTTAGACCGTTTCTATAATTTGTGCATTCTACTTTATGTGTATTTAACTACTTTATGTGTATTTAATTTCGTTTATATAAATGAATCTTCTTGCATAGCAAATAAAAAATCATATAATTATTAAATTATATAATTATTAATATAACAATATTGCGAAAGGTCTATATTTATGTTTTTCCATTAAGAATCGCGTCCCTCTTTCTCGCTTGAGTTTTTAAATTTAAAACTTTTCTATATTAAATATATAATATTTCATATTACATTAATACTTTAAAATTATAATTTAAAAATTATAATTTAAAAAATAGTTACAAATTGTTACAAAATAGTTAGAAATAACGATATATTTTTAAGCATATGTATTAATTAATTCTTTTTATTTACAATATTTTTAGCATTTTCTGAATTCGCCAGAAATATATTTTTCAAAGCTGTGAAGCTTATTCTAAGAGATCTTAAATGAAAGTTCAAAGTTAATTTCGAAGTTCTCCAAAACTGTAATTCTTCAAAATTGTCAAAAATTAACAGCCCTAATTATGATCCTTATGTGCTAAATTATCCAAATGCGAAAATATCATTTTTCTCTGTCGAAAATCATACAACAGATTGTGTCTATTAATTTTCTAATGTTAGTAAAATATAATGCACTTTCTAATATTAAAAAATACTATTTTTTTACTATTAAAAAATAATAAATTTTGAAATGTTAATTTAAAAAATATCTTTATAGCACTATAATATTAAATCTTGTTTCGATTTCGAAATGTATCTCGACGATTATTACTATATTTTGAAAATAAATCAAATACACTCGTTGATGAAATTATCGCATAGGTAATTTCATGTCAAATTTTCGCATAACTTCAAATAAGTATAACTTCATCAAAAATAGTCGTATTTGAAATTTTTTTTTTTCATTCTCAAGCTTAAAAAACCTCTATTTTAAAAATCATTTGTCAGATTTAAAATTGATCCACCCCCCCCCCTCTCGTCATCTCCTTAAAAATAAGGACGTATTTCGTCTCCAAAAAATTGGATAATTTGACGCATTGCACGGAGTGAAATAAATTTTTTTCGCAAATTTCATGATAATCATAAAATAAGGACTTTTATGTGTGAATTTAAAAAAAAAATGAAATTTGTACGATTTTTGTTCGCGGAGTTACAACACATCAAAATTTGAAAAATTTATCAAATGATTTTTAAAATAGAAATTTTAAGCTTGAGAATGAAAAGAAAACTTTTCAAATACGATCATTTTTGATGCAGTTATACCTAGTTGAAGTTATGCGAAAATTTGATATGAAATTACTTATGCGATAATTTCGTTAACGAGTGTATATTGGCAAACGTATGTTTCGATCTCTTTTGGATCTTTTTCAATATCTCAACGATTGATACAAAATAATATGACGCGACATTACAAGGGCGATTAGATTATAATGGAAAAGGATAAATAAACATATTAAACGGTCGAGAAATGATAAAAAATAAAAAATTTTTAAAAATATTTTGAAGTACTAAAAAACTCCTACATATAAAATTATGCTATTATCAAATGAATCATTTTTATTTTTTTCTCATTGTTGTAGAAATGTTTCATCTTGCAGGAAAACGATATCATTATATGTATAATAAAATTCACCAAAAAAAATTAAAATTTTTTCTTCTTATCATAAAATTAATAAACTTTCTCTGGGATATAATTTATTGCTTCTTTATTTCTGTCTGCTTTAGTAACCGCTACTTGCTTTCGTGAAACAAACACAAATTGATAAAAAGAACATATATATATTTAGATAGTTTCAGATCACATGTGTGCGACACATAAAACTTGATTAATTCTATTAATTCCCACTTCGATAGCAGATCTATTTCGATTACGATATGGCATTTTATTTTATTTCATTTTCCCAGGTTCGTTCAATTCACAGGCAAGAACGGGGGCCCTCAACATCTTGGGGTCCAGCTGAAACAGGGAGGCGATATCATTGCCGTATCAGCAGTTGATTCACGAATTCCAAATACGCTGAGAAAGTTCCTCGAGGGCGGTGACGACCTTCTCAAAAAGGCTAAAAGGTAGGAGAGTGGTTTGAACAACTGAATCCTTCGATATGTGCCAATCGATCACAGATATGTCTGTGTATTACGCGATTTCTATTACGAAAATATTTACTATTTACTATGATTTGTAACCGCGATAGCAGATAATCAGTCTTTTATCTTGGAATTATGATTAGAACTTTGATCTGCCCCAGTTATATTGCAAACTTTTCTTTGAACTTTAATATTTCAAGTATAACAATTTAATATTTCAGTTATATAATTGTTAGTTCCCAGAACATGAAATTCATAATGACATCATTATGACGTTATCATGATTTTATTTATCACTTAAACAAAAATGATTAAAAAATGAGTTAAAGATGACAAAAAGAATAATAAATTTTTAAGTTCAATAATCGCATTATATAATTTTAAAAATATTATGTTGTTTAAATATAATTAAAATATACATGAATAATTAAATGAACAAGTAATTGCGTAATATATATATATATATATATATATATATATATATATATAAAATGATATTATTATGATTGATTCTTAAGATTTCATACGCGAAGTATATATATTCTCCAACAAAATTCGCTAGAATTGTTTAATATAAAAAATAAGTCACCAAAACATTGTCAAAAGTATATCAAATGCGATCATTATGATATCATTATTTTTCTAAAATGCCTTTTAGGTGACTTTTAGGTGACTTTTAGGACGTCATAATGATGTTGTTATGAGTTTCATGTTCTACCTGGTTGAGTATAATTTCATACTCAATAATATAATTATTTAATACATAACAGTTATATAACATGTAACAGTTATATTGTTAAGTGGGAAATTATAACTAACAGTTATATAATGTTACTTGGTGTTTGCTGGGATAATAATATGATATGTTACACATCGGGTGTGCGAGGAGAAAAAATTACCTGATCTTATCGTGAACGTTTGTTTCATCAGGGATGACCATATCGACCTAAGGAAGGCAGTAGAGAGGTTGGTGGCTTTCGGAATTCGATTCGTGTGATATAGAGTAGTTAATTTTCTCTTTTCTCCCTTCCCTTATCATGTTATATATGGTATATACATTCATGCACACATTACATGTGATATATCGTTATTCTTTTTCAATCGAAAATTCCATGGAATTTTATATCAAAAGCCGCACCTTCGTTACATCAATTAAGCCTATTCATCGAAATTACTCACTTTATATATCCAATTTTCCATTCATTATTATTTAATATAATTATTATTTAATATTCATTTTTTACTAAGCAAATACTTAGATAAATTATTTGCACAATATTTAAAGTACTCAAATAATTTTCTGTACCATCTTAAGGCACAAGATCATCCATGCTAGACGGATAATTTATGTACATGAATAATTTTCATTATATCGAAATAAACGCTTATGCGTACATAATTTATCTTTGAAGTTTTTGAATGTGTAATCGCATGGTATACAAGGTAATTGACATGTTACGACGACGATTACGTAATAATAAAATTTTGCATAATGAGAAAATCGCGTCCAAATCAGATTGCTGTTGATTATCAATGATTTGACAGTCTAATCAGATTTATTAATTGAAAAACCCATTAATGAATTAAATCCGTATTGGACGTAATCCAATTTAAATGGTCCGTAAATAGATTGGAAAATCAGCTTAAACAAAGTGTATACTCTCGAGAAAAATCTGAATTTTTCAGGGATTTTCGTTTTATCCTGAAAAATCGGAATTTTATTGGGACTCGGAAAATTTTTTAAAAATTGCTTCTTTGATAATTTTTTTTATATTGCAAGTGGTCAATAATCTGTTAGTACTGCTACTGAGATCTAGTATATTATTCAATACATAAATTAATATTTTATTTTAAAAAATATATTTAATAAAAAATATGGAACTTTTTAGATTTAAAATATATTAAAATGTTTTATTTATGTTAGGGTATAAGAGTTCACGCACAATAAATATACTTATTTTAAAATTGCATTTATATACAATAATATTTTAATTTTATTTAGAATTTTGAAAACTATCTAAAAAATCATAGAATTTTCACGGAATTTATTTCCAAGATTTAAATATACACTCTGTTAACATTTCTTTCAGAATCATTATTCGAATCTCGTGAACGATTTGTGTATACTCTCCCGAGAGTAGCCCAACAGATTGGAAAAAAACCGAATGTATCTTTCTCGATGAATAATTATAAGTGTGTCTGTGGGATTATTTTCAATCATTAGTAGAAAATTGCTATGTGTCACGCGCGTTATCACGTGGCATCTCATATTACATAGTATTGCATGTTTCCTGGCTGTTTGATTTATCGATTTCAATTAAATCTTGTCAAGAGTCCACTGTCTCCATCGATTGTATCTGTTATTTTGTTTCCAATATCGTATCATTGAAAAACTTTAGAGTTTTTTCTATAACATATCTTTACGTTCAACAATTGACAACAATCTTACCTCAATTTGCAATCGATTCTGAATCAGATACATTTGATATAAACTGACGCCCCTCTTGTCTCGCTGCCAATTGGCGAGTTTTCAAGATTCTTTGGTACAATTGAAAAATTATCAGTGAAAACAATAGTATTTCGAATGAAGCATTATTTATAATTGTTTACTTTTACACAGACTGTATCTTCCGTTTTAAAAAAATTAAATGATTATAGCGTGTTTTTCTCTTCTCTTTATTTTAATTTGATAATCTATCACGATGACATTTGACATTTAAATGCAACTGTGACAAACAATAAAGATGCTAATTCGCTGATATGTGTGTAGAAGTTAAAATTGCGTGAGTCACAGATGCAAGCATGACATTTCTGTGCAAAGAATTCCATTTTATTTATAATAGATATTTTTTTTAATTAAAAAATCGCACATTTTATATTTTTTAGGTGTAATGTTATAATAATTTAGCCTTGTTAAAGCTATTGCTTGTACTTTAAGATTATATGACGAGCTGTATAATTTCTGAACTAGGGGATTACAAACTATGAAAACTAAATAATTAAAAAAACATATACACACAAAAAAATTATTATATTTATAAATTATTATTGAGCTTTTATATATATTGTAGTTCTAGTTCTTTTCCAGAATTGTAATCTTTTACAGGAAGATTTGAGCAATATCCCTTTAAAAAGCAAAATAAAATATGTAGAAAAAATTGATGCAAAAATATTATTATTTTTATTTTTAAAAATACGATCTTTTGATTTGTGATAAATATTGTTATTGATATGTATTTGTTAAGAAAAATCAAAAGATGATTTCAGTGATAGAATTCGTATAGGATGTACCAATTATCTAAAAATTTAAGTTAAATGAGAAAAATCGCTCATACAGCACGTCATAGTTCATACTTGACGAGAATTTAAAACCACTCACGCGATGTTACGTTTCTTTACGTAATTTGGCCTCCGTAAAGATAATCTCGACAAAAAAATATATTCATATTAAAAAAAAAGAAAAAAATACTTGCACATGTTTCAATATACAATTAACCGGAAATAGCAGAGTTATAAGAAATACGTAAACCGCAAACCCGTGTCGATGGTTTATCGATTCACAGAAAATAAGACATTCTTGTTTTGAAAATATATTTAGTTTTAACATGGAAATCTTGAAATAAGATTATATTGCGTTAATTAAAGAAAAATATAATTGTTTGAATAATTGCCTATTTGAATGAAGCCATTTTATATAGTTCAATCAAGAAAAATATATTCTTATGATTTAAGATTTAATTTTCTTGAATGGAAAAGAAACAATGTTAGATAGAAAATAACATTTTTAAATCAAATATTATAATTTTCTTAAAGTAGAATTAAATAATTATATATTCTTGAGATGACATTTATAATATTGAAATAAGATATAATATTATTGAAATTTAAAATTATTAAATTCTTCTAAGAAGATTATAAATTGTTGCGTATATACGAAACAATGAACGCGATAGTTTAGGTATATAAATTTTGATTTGACATATTTTTTTCTGTTAGTAATACAAAATTAACGACAAAAGATTAGCCTCTGAAGCACTAAACTGATGTTGTTACACGGCTTAATATCGCCAGTCTTTATTTTCCCTTGAAAATGGAGGAATCTGTTTGTTAGCACACAAAGCCGCATTTTGCCTACGATTATGAGGTAATAACAAACTCATGCAAAGCAGCAAACGCACGCAAATTTCTGTGCCTGCAAATATAATGAAACTTCCCCATTTTTCCCTTTTATTCTCTATCATCTTATTTTTTTCGCGTGAGGAAAAAATATATTTAACTAAATTTTACCTCGCGTGCGAGTTGATTAACTTCTATCAGACGATTCTAATATCTATTTCTGACTCGGCTAACAATGGTTACAGAATAGTCGCCGAGGGACGGAGCATCATACCCGAGAACGATGTCAACTTTCTGGCGCCAATCACGCGTATGGACAAACTCGCCTGCATTGGCCTCAATTATAGTGGTCATTGTCAAGAGCAAGGTTTACCGACTCCGGAGAGCCCGATAGTCTTCAGCAAATTTCCCAGCAACATCATCGGGCCGCGCGACAACATCCTGCTGCCACAGATCTCGGACGTAAGTGGATGTTATCGGGTCACCTTGAAGGAGATTGCATTATTATGCGAAGGACAATTTCATTATTATGTCTGGAATTGTGTATCTTTAAGTTTACCCGAGATTATGTCACAACTTTCTTGAGAAGCCGCTTGAATACCTAGAAATCCTATTCACTTGTTCATTTATGTGTCATTCGTTCATTATGTAACTTCTTGTCTCTTTGACGCAGAAGAATTCTGAAGTAAAACAGACTACGCGATAAATAATGTTATGTAGAACACGCCGGGAATGTTTACAGAAAGTTGATTGGGAGGCCGAGCTGGCGATAGTGATCGGTAAGAAATGTAAGAGCGTCACCAATGACGACGTCGAGGACTGCATCTTCGGTTATACAGTGGCCCAGGACGTGTCAGCGCGTGATTGGCAGAAATCGAAGCGAAACGGTGGCCAATTTCTTCTCGGCAAAGCGATGGACACATTCTGTCCGCTGGGCCCAGCTGTTGTCACCAAGGAAGCGATATCTGACATCAATAATCTGTCCGTGAGAACATGGGTGAACGGCAATTTGAAGCAGAATGGCAATACCAATGAACTTATCTTCAAGCCCCAAGAAATAGTCGCTTATCTTTCGCAGTCTGTATTTTTCTAGGTGATACATCAACAACGAGCGATTGCAGATCACGCAATAACGATATTAATCGAACTTTCAGATTTGTGACACTGTTACCAGGTGACGTAATTCTTACTGGCACACCTGCAGGTGTGGGGTACACACGCAATCCACCAGAATACCTACAGGTATATCATTATAATTATATATATTATAAATAAAATTAATTGATTACACTGGAGCCTCTCAAAAAAGCAAACCGCGAAAGAATATATTGCATTCTCCATGTGCTAAGCCACTTTCAAATAACATAAATAAGGATAACGGTTAATTATTCATTAATCAATCAATTATTCTTGAGAGATTTCAATGTAACATCTCGTTATATAAATATGTAATTATATTTCACATGTAAAACGCATTTTGCCTCTTCTTTTCTACATTCATCTACTTATTTTAGCGTGGTGATGTATTGGAAACTGAGATCGAGAGTCTGGGTCGTCTGAGAAACAAAGTAATATGATCTAAGAAACCAAGTATGCCTTTGGAAAGCGTTATCAAAACTTCTTCACAAGACTGGACGTCCTTTCGGGAATCGACATTCGCAATGACGTTGAATCATCCCAAAGGCTATACGTATTCCTGTATCTGATCCAGATACAGGAATACGTATTCGAACAACATCGATGATTTCAACATGATTGCAAATGTTTATGTCGTAGGTAACAGCATCGCCATTCTTCGCTCAGGGCACAAGCGCGCCTAGCAACATTGATAACACAGCAGCACTAATTTTCTATGTGTCACGTATTTTATGTACTTATATAATTAAAGTCATATTATTCCTACTGTGTGTTTATTTTATCTCATTCAATCTAATCTTTAAATAATAATAGTTTTTTACATGTTTTAATGAATTATATTAGCAGTTGTTTTGTATTTTATTTTGAAATTTTATGTTCGATTATTATTAAACATTACAAATATTGTAAAAATTGGCACGTATATCTACAATGTATATTTAAATGATTTCTAAAGTATTCTTGGAGAATTTGAATGAAAATTAGACGAATATTTTGAGATATTTATATTCAATTGAGTGATATATCTCTACAATATTTATCAATATAAAAATAGATAAACATGTTTGTAAGTAATGATAAATACAAGTAGTGATATCTGATTTCACTTTTGTTTATCAAATAATCCTCAAAATCATATAAAATGATTTAGATGAAAGAATAATCAAAGAATGTCAACATTATTGATTACTTTTTTCTGTTACCTCATATAAATATTATTTATCAATTATATTATTTTAAAATAATATAATTTGTACCACTAATATATGTGAATTTTTATGACAATCTGTTTCTTAATAAATTAGATTATAATATGAAATTTAGTTGTCATTGACTTACATGTACACAGCATCAAATGCAATCTAAATATATATAAACGATATAAAGAAAACTTACATTTATTTAAGTTACGATATAAATTATGATATTAATTTTACACTGTCATTTTGAATATATTCATTATACTGTTCTGGAATGCCTTTAAACATTTTTATTTTGGCTCGTATTTGTTTCCAAGTCAATTGATAATGATTCTTCTTATCTTTTGACATTGCCTGTAAAGAATATATATAGAAATAATTTATTGTATTATTAACAGTAATGATTTTTCAACAAAAAGTATTTCACCTTGTAATCTTCGCCGTATCTTTTAATCAAATAAGTTAAAAATTGTGCCTGTCCTTTCGGTAACTTGAAAAAACGCTCTCGAGGTTCTTTCGCTTCAGCTTCCAACTTCTCCATCACGTGATTTTTTATTGGAGCTACATCTTCAGCATCATGATCCGACAAACTCTCATCTTCCTTAACTATTCTTCTGGCTTCCTCCAACCTTTCACGCTTCGTGTTAGGAATTTTTACCGTTTCATTTGAATCATATGCCAAACCCATTTCCTTCAAATTGACTCGCGTAGACTTCGTACACGTCCATGCTTCCTTTATCTGACTACTAATGATATTAATAAGAAATAAGATATTAATTAATCAAAATTCTATCTAATCTCCCTCTATACAATTTTAATAATTATTATATACTTTAATGAATGATTAATATTTATTATATTAATTAGTTGTTTAATTGTGTAGAGTTTAACATTTAATTATTATTAAATATTTTAATATCATAACAATTTTCATATACATCGATAATATTGTTGCACATTCTGAGTTATACATAAGTTAGGTTAAGAAACTCACCACGAGATATTTGGCAGTTTTCGCAACTTATTTCGCAGCCTCTTTCGACTCACATTCGGATTGAACTTCTTCTTACGTTTCAGCTTCCTAATTCTCTTAATCTTCATCCTCCCGATATTCCTAATACGCGCTCAATGTTTATGACTTCGCACGTGTGTGCATGCGTATGCACCGTGAATCAGTAAAGCGGCCTTTTCATTGACGCTACTTTTTAGCGTCAATGAAATTGCACCTTACAGTTGGCAGCCCTACGAGATAGGCTGTGCAGCACTGCGCGTATATAAAATAAATTTGAAATCGCTTCTAGCCTAACCATCTTCACGCGATCGACTTTATTTGAATTGCACGGCATCGCATCGAATTATGATGCGGCGCCGATTTGTTCGAACGTAATTCGGGGCATCGCGATGCTGTATAAGCGTCGAATAAGCACGAATTGTTACGCAAATATGATAAATCACATCTACTCACCGTTTACCGGCTGTTCCACAGGCCGCTCCATTCGCTCGCCTCAGGACGTCCCATTCCGATCTTGATGCACACGATATCATCAACGCGAACGCGCGACACTTTATTCGGCACTCCCGATATTCGCTCGCATCCGATAATCATCATCAAGGGCACAAATAACGCGACGCGACTTCGCTCCATCTTCGCGATCGCGCTATCACTGAACTGTGAAAAATAGCTGTCGCGCACTTTCACCGACATATTATGAAAGTCGCGCGATCATCCTTGGACACTTTCGACGCTCTTTCACTCGCGATATTCGTTTAAAAACGGTTAAAAGACGCGAAAAATGCGGACGTACGACGATCCGTGTAACTGCGTATGACTCCGATTCACGTATGACGCGTATGACGTAGCAGTCACACGCCAACATGGCGGCCGAACCAGTACGCAGAAACGAATGCGCAGTGGTTCGGCCGCCATGTTGGCGCGTGACTGCTACGTCATACGCGTCACTGCTACGTCATACGCGTCATACGTGAATCGGAGTCATACGCAGTTACACGGATCGTCGTACGTCCGCATTTTTCGCGTCTTTTAACCGTTTTTAAACGAATATCGCGAGTGAAAGAGCGTCGAAAGTGTCCAAGGATGATCGCGCGACTTTCATAATATGTCGGTGAAAGTGCGCGACAGCTATTTTTCACAGTTCAGTGATAGCGCGATCGCGAAGATGGAGCGAAGTCGCGTCGCGTTATTTGCGCCCTTGATGATGATTATCGGATACAAGTGAATATTGGGAGTGCCGAATAAAGTGTCGTGCGTTCGCGTTGATGATATCGTGTGAGTTTGTGCGCATAAAGATCGGAATTGGACGTCCCGAGGCGAGCGAGTGGAGCGGCCTGTGGAACAGCCGGTGAACGGTGAGTAGATGTGATTTATCATATTTGAGTGACAATTCGTGCTCATTCGACACTTATACAGCATCGCGATGTCCCGAATTACGTTCGAACAAATCGGCGCCGCATCATAATTCGATGCGATGCCGTGCAATTCAAATAAAGTCGATCGCGTGAAGATGGTTAGGCTAGAAGCGATTTCAAATTTATTTTATATACGCGCAGTGCTGCACAGCCTATATCGTAGGGCTGCCAACTTTAAGGTGCAATTTCATTGACGCTAAAAAGTAGCGTCAATGAAAAGGCCGCTTTACACACTGAAAAAGTTGAAACTGTTTGAACTTTATTTTATTGACGCCATATCTAGAGAAAGTCTAGTGAGTTTAATTTGCCGCTGGTTTCTAGCGTCAATGAAATTGTACCTTAATGTGCAACCAGAGAGAAGACTGAGAGATGTCATGGCCTGCTTTTAGGCGATCCCTAAAAGCGATACTCCCTCTATGGATATTGAAAACGTGAACATGAACTACAAAGCCAATGTCCATGAATGTTCTCAGAGGGTAATATATAATGTGCACAATTTCTGGTTTTGTTCCGTGCTATGTGCACGAAACGCCGGTAGTTGTATAACAAGATACTTAGTATGTGAATTGATAGTAAATAAATTATTCAATCGTGAAATATACTGTAATATTCAAAGATAAACAATAAATAAAGAAATAAATATTTTTCTATATTCATTGTCATATTTATATCTTTTTATTTAGAAACACAAAATGCCTGCTGTGGACTAAAAACATTTTTAATCATATTTCTTCTATAAATCTTCTTAATTAGCAGTAAACTGATCTTTAATATTTATTAATCATTTTTCGAGATCGAAGGAGGAGATAATTACTCCTTTTTTTTGCCGGATAATTACCGGCAAAAAAGCGTGAAATATCTACGCTCATTTAATAACGCTCGTTCGTTAAATATTGAATATAACTTTATTTTAATTGAAATAAAGCCAAATTATTACGAATTTCTATAAATTATATTTTATAATAAAATATAAAATTAATGTGTGTATTTATCATATTACAAATTATTTAATTAATTAATCATTTGGCTTTATATTAAGTTAAAGTAAAGTTTAAAAACAATATCTACAAACAAATTCTACGATGGATGAGCTATTAAAAAATAAGTGCGTATTATAAAAATAAATTAGCATCAAAAATTGATAAAACTGATAATTGTTAATGCGTGTCTTTTATTTAATAAATTAGAAAAAATCTTTACAAAAAAATCTTTTCTTGATCTTTTCTTTTTTTAATTAATATTTCAATATATTTTCGCAATAGGTGTAAAGCAATAGGTGTAAGTTCGAAAGAACTTATGCTGCTTAGGTGTAAAGCAATAGGTGTAAGTTCGAAAGAACTTATTAAGCTTATTTAATTTAATTTAATTAATTTAATTTAATTTAATTTACTTTAATTTACTTTAATTTAACTAATTTAATTTAATTATTTAATTTAATTTATTTTATTTAATCCATCCTAGCTCATCCATTTTAAGGCAACGGATTTATTTACAATCTATCATCTACATCTATATCTACACAGAGAAAAATATCATTCTACTGCCAAGAAAAGCGATTACTCAGTTTATTTTTCTTTTTTAAGTAATAGTTTTCTTCAACAAAAAATATATTCTTGATAATAATTTTAAAATATACTCATCACAAGTGTAAGAAAATCTCATCATCATGTACTCAAAATAAGAATTTATTTTCTCTTCAAGAATATTGTAAAATTGTATCAAAGCAAAGTCAAACTTACTTTACGTCAACTCTTGTAGTAAGCAAACCAAATTTTTGTTTTAATTTAATATTCTTGACTAAAATACTGCACTTATTAAAATTCAGAATATATTCAATTAAATTTAATGCTTGTGGTAAACTTGTGATATATTTGCAGTGATATATTTATACAAACTTATGATATACATAAAATAAATAATATTTACTTGAATACAGTATACATTTTTCTCTATGTACATCTGCAATCTGTACCAATCCGTTACCTTAAAATTAAATAAAAGTTTTTTTCACTCACCGGCACTGATGCGCAACAGCGGAGTTGTTGTTATCGAAGCTAGTTGTCTGTAACATACAAATATAAAATTCATTTATAATAATGGTAATGCAATTATTAATGCAATTGTTATAATAACAAAATGCAATTAATATTTTAAAAAATTTTTATTGCACGGCATTTTATATCCAATGTGTAAAATTATAAATTTTTGAAACTGTTTTTTAAATAGAAAGTTTTATATGACTTTTATAAAAATTTTTTTCTCCAATTTTCTCTTTAATTCATTTAAATAATAAGACCGAATTATTATGCGTACAATTTATACCAATTGACATATAAATAATAAATATTCACCATCAGGTTGCTCCGCCGATGCAAGATGCCTCTCCCAGGCCTCCTCCTCCTCTCATGTTGTTAACGCGCGATACTAAACGGCACTCCCGCACTAATTCGGTATGATTAAAAATTTGGTCGCGCGATGTACATATTTAATATACATATATATACTTTGTACGACACTCCCGGTTTCGGAAAACGCGACGACGCGAGAATATTACAACGCGAAAACGCGGTAACGAAGCGACTGCCGTCCGCGGCACGTTAACGGCATCGACGACGCGAAAGGGTACTTAGCTTCCCATTCAGGCACCTTAAGATTTATCATAAATAGAAAAATTTAAGATAAATCTAAAGGTACCATCCAAGTACTAAGCCCTCCCACCGCGACAAGGTGTACCCCATGGGAGGGTTATATTATATATAATTTTATATATAATATATTTTGTGAAATTTATTTTGTAATTTACTATATAAATTTAAATTTGCAAATATAAACGATAAATAAAAATATAAAGGATAAGAAAAAATATACATAAAGCAATGTTCAAAATAATTGATTTTAAAATTATTGCGCGCAATTAATTTTTACATTTTTACTTTTAAATATATATTTTAATATTATAAATTCTGTAATTACAAAATAATTTATAATTTTTAGATATAAACGTTTAGTAATACGATAAATAAAAAATTTTTAGATATAAACGTTTAGTAATACGATAAATAAAAAATTTCTATCTTTTTATACATGAAATATTTAAATAAATATATTAATATGAAATGTTTTATAAAATATAAGAAGTATCTGAAAATATTAATTAATAAAAAACTTTATAAATGTTTTATAAATGTTTTAAAATAAAATGGAATATTTTTTATAAGTATATGTATTATATATGTTACAATTTAAAATCACTATTAAATCACTATTAAATCACAAAGAAATAAAACAAAACGAGAAATATAGATATTTCGAATATATATACTATTGATAGATAATTTATATATTGTTGCATCCACGGAACGATATATATCGAACGCGCGTGACACAATCGGCATACGCTGACGCTCGTGCACTCGTAAATAGTAACGCGATTTAAAGATCACAAATAGACGCGGATCCCCACAACTTGACAGCTGGGCTCACAATCAGACTCTCTAACAGTCGTTGTTTATAACAACATCTATACAACGCGCACGGCGATCTTCTTCGAAAGAATTCAACGGGACGGGACGCGGGAACGCAACAATATAATAAATAATGAATGTGATAAATAATTTATATTAATGACTTACATCATATCGTGTTGATCCACTTCCAAAACCTCCTTTTTTCTTTTGCTTTCTTCGCTTTTTTCTCATTGGCACTTCAATCCTCGTTGCACTCATTTGAATTTCTCATTGCACTTACACTCATTCACGAAAAGTTCCTCGTTGTACTTGTAACTGTGTTCAGAAAAAGAATTTGATAATATATGATACGTCTCACATCACTACTTCACTGCTCAAGACCCACTGAGCGAATGATCGTAAGTCAGAAATATTATCGCGGTACTGTTTATATTGCCAAGGTTGACTATGTAGAGAAAGAATTTGATAATATTGTGTCTCTTACGTCACTACTCAAGGTCGCTGGGCGAATGATAATAAACCCATACACAGCTTATAAAAAGAGAAAGAGGATAGAGCCCATGTTACGAGTCATTAAACAGTTAAAAATTTATTACTTTTTAAATTATAAAAATATCCACGAATTTTTTGCATCTATCTTAAATCAATTATATACATCAATTATATATATCAATTATATACAGCTTTGCAATACAACAAGTAAAGCTTTAGACAATTCTTAATCTTTATTGATAAATCTACTCAGTTGAATTAGCTTATGCACATTGATGACTGATGTAGTGTAAAGATATGAAATGAGCATAATTTCGATTCAATTTCGACGTAAATGATTGAAAAAGATTCATCATTATTATTTCAATCACTTTTATTTCCGCGACCATTCGTATTCATTGATTCGTTAAATAAAAAATCTTGTTTGTACAAGTGTGTCAGCGAGTTTACGCTCATTCAAACCGACGAGCGACGAAGTGATCCCGTGGGACTTCCTTTTAAGGCTGGAATATAATTTGACCGATTCTAATCCAAGGCGACGTATTCATAGCGATATCAAGGAGGATTTGGAAGATATCACAAGAGAGATCATGGCTTCCATTAATTTCTAGTCGCGGCAGCGCGGTCGGATTGTCGAGGAACGATCGGCTCTTTATGGATTTAGAAGGGTAAACTCTTATGGGGCCGACACTATATTAGATCTTCTATTAGTTTATCGGAAGGGGCAGGAAAGTCACTCTTCCCGTCAGACGACACATTTATCTCCATCAACATTTCACTGGTATTCTCATCGATATTTTTATATTCCTATAATTCTTTCTTGCTTCTTTTTACAATTATATACATATTAGAATTTTATAATCATGAGTAAAAATATTCTTATAAAGTTTCTAATACATCTGGCTATTTTAGAAAATTAATCAATCTATTTTATATTCACATGAGATTTTTTGCATTTCATGTTAAATAAGAAAATTGTATAATATATTTAAAGATAGTAGCCAAAAAGAAACATTGTTACATTTTGGTTTTAGTCGTGGGGTTTATATTATAATGTGTCGATGAACTATCGGACGCTCTGAACTTCGGTGCCAGAATATTTCGTCATTATTTAAGTATTATAAATATGGAGTGCGAGATTGTGTGAGACGAACAAATAAAGATTAATACAATCTAATGATTTACTGCGGCAAAATGTATATAACGTATCAAAGCTTTGATTGAGAGCGCAAAGTTTTGATTATAAAGATATTACGTATAATGATATTCGGAAAGAATAGATCTGGAAGAGTCAATGAAAATCACCAAAGTCACAAGTTACATGTTAGTAGATTTTTATGCAAAATAATTTCCATTTTTCGTTGCTAATTTATGTAAAACTATATTATTCTTTATCGTCAAGCGATCTTTTTTATCGAGCAAAAAAATTGCTGAAAATAAATTGATATACTTTTTCCTATGTATTGATGTATTTTTACAGTTACAATTGTCAATACTTTTAGGAATCAAATGTAATCACACATACATTTTATAAAATCAGCAGCTTAGAAAGTAAGTTTGAATATTATAAATAAATGTGATATTATAGTGCCTTTTATAAATTTTTTTCGTAAATTTATATATTATTAATCTGGAAATGTAGATACTTTTAAATTATCATTCTACAGTCAGAATATAATATACGCTTTATTGAAGAAAATTCTTTTGTTAATAACATCATAAAATTAATAATATTCTCTCCTCCTTATCACTCTTCAAAAATAAGATATGATATATAAATATTATTGACGATATTTTCTTACATGTTATTATTTGAAACAAAAATTTAATTATTTAAACTGTTTATATAAGTGTTGAAATATAGATATTAATAAATTTTATTTTAAATAAATTAATATCACATATAATTAATTGTTAAAAGTTTATTGTATGTAAAGTTCGAGAAGAAATACTAAGAGATTTGCTAGCATACTATCGGAACAATAACTACGATGGACTGCTAAAGTTGCATTTTTTCGCATTTTTTCGTTCTCCATTTTTTCTTGTAATAGTATAAATATCATATAAACATACAACTAATTAATATTTCAGAGGATATTCCATGATTATATTTTAAATGTCCTTTGGAATTTCATCTCTCAACTTTTGTGTCTGAAAATTAAAATGTAGAAAATTGGTGTGCATATTTATTTATTAAATTGCAAAACTGTTTATCTCAAGAGAAATATCTACTAAAGATCTTTGACGTTGTAAAAGCTTTATACAACATTCTTTTAGATAAGTTAAAATCATATAGAAAAGTTCAGTTTCTGTAAATTATAGCAATTTTTTATCGTCATTCCAAATTTGATATTAAGAAATTAATCATTTATCAATCTCATTTCTGAAAGAATGTCTAGAGATTATAATTTCTAGGAAACCCTGTAATCGGAAGGAGGTCAAACTTCAGTTAAAAATAAATAATCGCAAAAAAACGGAGCTAGAAAAAAATTGATCTCGCGTTAGCTCGAAGAAGCGATAACTTATCGAGCTTTTGAATAATGTTTGAGAAAACAGAGGAAAAGCAAATAGCTAGAAACACAGTAAATAGTGATAATTGGTAATATATGATTTATTTATGACAATAGAGATAGTAACAAAATATAACTTTTCATGGTGCAACATATCACATGAGGAAAAGTTGATTACTTTTCTTCGTGTAGTACGTTGCACCATGAGAATTGAAAACAGGCGATTTGGAGCATATTTATGAATCATCAATTATCATTATAACGTTTGTGAAGGTATTGTTATATATTTTATCGCATAGATTGTATTGTAAGTGATAACTTATGAACTTTTCGCGAATAGCATTTAAGGAAATGGAAAATGAATAATGAACAGTTAGAATCGCAATAGATAATGGTAACTTATAAAACATGACTTGTGAAAAATAAAAATACGACTTTTTTACATTGCATATATTCAGAATTGACATTGTGATTTAGAATACGTGAGAATATAAATATTATATAATAGTGTTTTTGTATTACACACAATGTTTATATATCACAATGCGCGATTAAAGCATATTGAATAATGCATATCTGATAATTCAGCGAGTAATGAATATGATTACCGGTCTAGTGATGGCTGAAAATGTTTTTTCAAAGGTTCTAAAAGCTAATAAAAAATAATCTTTCTTTCTCAATTAATAATATTAATAAAATTACAAAATTTCTTTTCTCTAAAAAATGGAGATGCAGCAGCACATTGAGATGTTTGCTTTATGTGGTTTCTATAACATTCATGTAAATAATCAATCTTCATCAATTTATCTTTGTTATTATTATTATCATAAGATCTTGAAAATTTTACATATAAAGAATTTTATATTCGATTAAATTTTCGAAAGAGATTGATAACACATCTTATGTTAATCAATGTCTCATTATAAATTTGTCTTAAAAAAAAAGACTTCGTTGGTGAGAATGTTTTATTATGTATTTAGAAAGGCCCTAGAAAGGCAATAATAACTGATTTGTTTAATTTTAATATTTTCGAGTCTGATATTTTTAATAATTTTATCTATAAAGTTTTCCATGAGCGGAACTCATGGAATGTACGAAATACACGAGACCAAATTATAAAACCAAGCGTGAAGGAAAGACAGGCTCGATCCGATATTTATTACGGCATTGATAGATAATAACGCATCGCTTAAGCTCGTTCAAGGTCGTTTGCTCTAGACGACGCATTTATAAGACAAAATTTCCGCGCAAATTCTTAGTGCAGTCATCAGCTCAATCACGCGTTACACTCTGCAAAACACGCGAGGTCATCAACTTCGAACAAAGAGCGTCTCGAACTAACGAAATTATTCGAAAAGTCGTTCGAAGAATTGAAAATTTTCCAAATAATCACTTGCTTATTTAATTGTGTATTATTGGTGCTCATATCCACAACAAACAAACTTCAATTCCAATATTATTAGTGTTGCATCAGCTCAGGAGAGCGAAGAATATTTTTATTTTGCTGTGCAATATTTTCCGGAGGGAAAACCACTAGAATGGAACATTAACTTTAGGTTTCTAAATTTATGAAGAATAAAATCAAGCACACAATTTTAGTTCCTTTCTATAAAGTCGAGCAATTGTTTCATCAGTGATCCCAAGAGTCGAAAAAGCGCAGTTTGCACTAATTACTTCGACGCAATCTTGGCTGTGAATAATCAATCGTTGAACGATGAGGGAATTGTGGGTGATCTTATCCATTTTGACGGTCCTAGCTATCCGCTCGCTGGTAGAGGGGAAGAAACTCACAGAATGCGAGGTCGTAAAAGAATTGGATCGAGCTAAAATCAGCAAGAGCCTATTCAGTAATTGGGTTTGTCTGATAAAAAGCGAAAGTGGGATGGATACGGCGCTAATAACTGGTCCAAAGGCAGCATCCAGTTATTCCTTCGGCATCCTCCAGATCAGCAGCCCCAAATGGTGCACGAGAGGACGTAAAGGTGGCATCTGTAACGAACGCTGCGAGGATTTTCTCAACGACGACATAAAGGACGACATCGCGTGCGGAAAGAAGATTTTCGATCAGGAGGGATTCAAAGCATGGGACGGATGGATAAAAAATTGCAAAAATAAGCCGCTCCCCAATGTGCCTTTCCCACCTTGCACACGAAGAAGAAGAATGGTGCCTCCAGTCGAAGTAATCGATGCTGCGCTTATATGATTGGAACAATTCGTTTGATGCACTGATACACGAAACTCGATTTTATTTCAACGCACTGTATGCTTTGCTAAAATGTTGCATGTGTATGAATTACTATTATGTAATCATTATACGTATACTTTCGATAATTTTTCGTATAATCTGCATAAGAATTTACAATCGTAAATACAATTTCATATAATATAATTCATATAATATAAAATAGTCATAATTGTATTATATTTTACAATTAAAATATCAATGTTAGATTATAATTAAAATACAATTATAACTATTTACAATTTAAAATTTACAAATTTATGATGCTATCAAATTATTATATCGATGTTATTAAATATTTGAATAAATAAAATATTATTACTTGATATTGATAGCATTAACATTTGAATTTAATATTATATTTGATTTAATACACATATATTTTTAACTTTTAAAATAAAATATAACATGTTATGTTATGTTATTTCTTAAACGTTAATAATTATAAATTTGCAATTTCTTTAATATTTTTGAAGATAATTTTGATAATTTAAATTTCATTTTTAAAACGTTTTTATTTTTAAAACATGTTATATTTATTTTTACAACGTTTTTAAAAATAAATTCAACTTAATTAAAATAATTTTAATTAGGATTAATGGAATATTAAAAGAAAGAATAAATCTAATAGCCCTAACAATCCTACTATTACAGAATTCTAATGATTTTAAGAGCCCTATCAACCCTAATATCAATAGAAGAATTCTAATGATTTTACTTAATAGCCTTAACAACCCTACTTCCTGATTAACTAAAATTATTCAAAATTTGAGGAATCTATCTCTAATCATCACCTCACCTAATCATGTATATATATATTTTAGTCACGTGCCCTAACCGCGTGCCCTAACCGCGTGCCCTAACCGCATACCCTAACCGCACTCTTCAGGCCAGTTGAACCTATCTTTCGTTGATCCAGGCCACTTTTTTTCTCGATCTCTAATTAGAGATCGAAGAAAGACATAATTACTTCTTCTTTTGCCGAATAATTACTGGCAAAAGAGCGTGAAATATTTACGTTCATTTAGAACGATTGTTCGATTTCACGATCGCTCGTTAAATATTGAATATAACTTTATTTTAACTGAAAAAAAGCCAAATTACTACAAATTTTTACAAATTTCTATAAATTATATTTTATAATAAAATATAAAATTAATATGTGCATTTATCATATTACAAATTATTTAATTAATTAATCATTTGGCTTTATATTAAGTTAAAATAAAGTTTAAAAACAAATCTATCTACAAATAAATTCTACGATGGATGAGCTATGAGCAAACAGAAGATAAGTACGTATTATAAGAATAAATTAGCATCAAAAATTGATAAAATTGATAATTGTTAAAGCGTGTCCTTTATTTAATAAATTAGACAAAATCTTTACAACAAAATCTTTTCTTGATCTCTTTTTTTTTAATTAATATTTCAATATATTTTCGCGATAGATGCAAAGCGTAAGTTCGAAAAAACTTATTAAAATTATTTAATTTAATTAATTTAATTTAATTTAATTATTTAATTTAATTTATTTAATTTAATTCATCTTAGCTCATCCATTTTAAGGCAACGGATTTATCTACAATCTACAATTTACGTCTACATCTACATGTGCAATCTCTACGAATCCGTTACCTTAAAGTTAAATAAAAATTTTTTTCACTCACCAGCACTGATGCGCAACAGCGGAGTTGTTGTTATCGAAGCTAGTTTTCTGTAATATACAAATATAAAATTCATTTATAATAATGCTCACAAAATGCAATTAATGTTTAAAAAAATTTTTATCGCGCGGAATTTTATATCCGATATGTAAAATAATAAGCAGATATAACTTAATTTTATATGACTTTCATAAAAATCTTTCTCTTTAATTCATTTAAATAATAAGATCGAATTATTGTTCATGTATAACAAGTTAATGATTTATAACAATTAATATATAAATAATAATATTTACCATCAGGTTGTTCCGCCGGTGCAGGATGCCTCTCCCAGGCCTCCTCCTTCTCTCATGTTGTTGGCGCGCGATAACTTTTAACGACACTCCCGCACTCGCGAGCGATATTTTTATATCGCTATTTTCGTTATTTTATGCGCGATACTGAACGGCACTCCCGCACTATTTCGATGCGAAAAAAATTTTATATTTGATCGCGCGATGTATATACTTAATATGTATATATCTTTAATGGCACTCCCGGTTTCGGTACGAGAGAAAATCCCATTTTACTTACAAGAATCCACTTCGAGCCAACAGGTCGGGAATGCAACGATACAACGAGCAAGAATTAAGCCCAAACCGGAAAGAAGACGAAACGATTGACAGAAATAGAGGAAAATGAAGTCCACCAACTTCTTTTCGCGCATAATTATCCTATCTCGTATCGAACCTGGACCCGCTAAGCACGATTTCAGGTGCTCCGCCCGGACATATTAAACCTCTCGCGGTTGCTATATGCTACACCAGGCTAGTGGATGGCAAAAGAAGAGGATACCTCCATTTTTTAAATGCTTACATTTAGCAAATGGGGAGGCAACCCCTTTTACCGAGCGAAAATCGTTCGCCTAGGGGAATCCACTCGATTCCTCGACAGGGTTAACACACGTAATGCGTGTGGCTGTAGAGTAGACGAGCAAAGAGAAAAGACTCATTGACGACCATTCCGAGCAATCGATCGAGTTCTAACTAATTTGGGCCAAATCACTTGACAAAGCACAAAGCAAGAGTGTACATTGCCGAGCAACGTGTGCAAATTCGTACATCCCAGTTAATTGGCATTGGAAGTAGAGACTCGTGACAATAAATGAAGTTGGGATTTTATATGAAAAAGTCCAAAAGTTCCGCGAGAACGCGACGACGCGAGAATATTACAACGCGAAAACACGACGCGTTGACGAAGCGCTTGCCGTCCGCGGAACGTTGACGGCATCGAAGACGCGAAAGGGTACTTAGCTTCCTATTCAGGTACCTTAAGATTTATCATAAATCAAAAAATTTAAAATAAACCTCAAGGCACCATTCAAGTATTAAGCCCTCCCACCGCGACAAGGTGTACCCCATGGGAGGGTTATATTATATTATATATAATTTTATATATAATATAATATATGTAATTAATATATATAATTAATTTTATAATATACTATATAAATTTTATAACTTATAAAAATATTAATGACTTACATCATATCTTATTGATCCATTCATTTCCAAGACCTTCTTTTTTTCTTTTGTTTCACTTTGTCCTCATGGCACTCCAATTCTCGTTGCACTCATTTGAATTCCTCCTTGCACTTACACTCATTCACGAAAAATTCCTCATTGCACTTGCAATTGTGGTTAGAGAAAGAATTTGATAATATATGGAACGTCTCACATCACTACCTCACTGCTCGAGAGTCACTGACCGAATGATCGTAAGTCAGCAATATTACCGCGGTATTGTTTATATCGCCAAGGTTGACTATGCAGAGAGAGAATTTGATAATATGTGAAACGTCTCTTACGTCAAGATCACTGTGCGAATGAAAATAAGCTACGTAAGATATTAACAATAGCGCGATGCTGTTTATCAAGACCGAATACGGTGTTATTGATAATTTTCTCGTTGCCGAAATATTTTCTGTAATATAAAATATTTGCGCAAGGAATATTAAAGTATAAAAGTATTTTAATTTATTGATTAAGATTAATTGATTATTTATTAAACTATTCATCATGAAGTCTTTCGTTATGCGTATTTCGTAATTATTTGCATCTATAATTCGATTGTTTTACTTCGTGTTACTATTGTAATTAAATCTTTACTATCCGAAGATAATATTACACTGAGCTCACAAAAATCACAAAATATCGCAATATAAATAAACCTAAATTACCTCTAAATACAGAATAATAATCTTCGTTCCAAGATATCGCAAAATATCGCAAAATATCGCATTGTAATTGAACCTATACTATCCCTAGATAATTAATATTACACTGCGCCTATAAATATCACAAAATATCGCAGAAAGTTCTTGAAGCGCATATTTCATGTAATTTATTCATTTAATCAAGTAAGAATCATAGAAACAGAAATCTAAAATAATAAATTATAGTTTATCTAAGATTGATTTTTACAAGAAGAAATTATTACTTTAATGATATTTATAGAATAAAATATAATTTCCGCGACGCTTTATCTCGTTCTATTTTTCAATTATTTAAAATTTAATTATTTAATTTAGAATCAAAACGCACAGCAAAACAATCGAATCATAAATCGAAATAATTAACATAATAAAAAGCTTTGCGATACATGAAATTAACAAATATTATTTAATTAATCCATGTAATCTAAAACTTTTACATTTCGTGTATATGTTAAAGTACGTAAAATATATCAGCAGTGAATGGATAATAACACGGTCGGTCTTGGCGGCGTATGACGCGTTGTGTTTACATGTACGGTCTTGATATCATTCACACGGCAACATTCGAAGAGTAAGGTGCGAAATACTTCGTATATTATTAAATTTTTTCTCTAACGATAAAACACAATTATGACTAGTATTAAAACATAATTCGCTATGATAATTATAATTAGTACTTGCTAAACTTTTAATTGTAATTACTACGCGATCGAGAATGCCGTGCAAAATGTCTCGCGATTTTTGTGTATACTAATTTTAATTAACTAATCTTAATTAATCTTGTTTTCAGGAGTGAAAGTGAGTGCAACGAAAAAATAGCGAAGGAGAGGAAAAGCAAGTCTAAAAAGCACTGGGCCACGTACTAAGCAACATTATCCGGTAAATAGTTTATAAATTATTTATCATTTATATTCAGATTATATATATATATATATATATATATATATATATATATATATGTATATATATATATGTCATTTATATTCAGATCATATTATATATTGCATGTTTTCTCAATAACGATTCTTTCTCTTTCCCTCTCCCTCTCTTTCTCCCTCCCTCCCTCTCTCTCTCTCTCTCTCTCTCTCTCTCTCTCTCTCTCTCTCTCTCATTGTAAATTATCTAAATTATTTAAGTTTTTAAATTATATTAGTATAACATATATATAAAATATTCTGGATTATCTTATTTTAATATACAATACTTAAAAT